CTCTACCTTTTCTTTCCTCCATTGTACTCATCACCTCCGAATGCACTATGTAATTAACTCGTCTGTCTGGGCAGGGATCTCTGGCTGTTTTGTTCATTAATGTTATCTCGAAGGCTTAGAACAGTGTGTGGCAGAGCAGACATTCAATAAATATTCATGGCAAAAACGAATGAGTGGACAAGGCAGGGAGCAGCATCAGTGGACAGCCCTGCAGCCAGCCCTGGCTCTCCCATCTCGAAGGGCCCCAAAGAATGTAAAGGCCTAACGACACCCCCACCTGCCCCTCCAGATCCCATCGTGGCTCTTGGTTTGCCAGCAAATGTCCAAGGACCAGTCATTGGACATTTCCTCACCCATTTCCTCTCCCTCTGCCAAAGGGAAACCATCCACCCCTCTACCTTCTAGAGAGCAGAATTTCATCTCTGAACTCCCCCAGGAGCTGCCTGGGCCTCGTTGGGCTGCCCCCAAGAACTTCTCGAGCACTGGCCTCTCGCGGGGGGCTGGGCTGCCATCCTACTTCTGCTCGTTCTCTCCCGAGTGATGTTGGCCAATCCCTTTTGTGGGCCTCGGGGTTCTTATTGCTCAATAAAGTTGGGGACGAGCGCAGCCGATTGCTAAGCCTAAGGCCTCTTGGCTCCAAATGCCCGTAGGTTCCCCCCTCACTTCAGAATAGGCCTCACTCTCTTCTCTAATCCCGCCACACCGCCCCAATTCACGAGAGACCCATTACCACTCTCGAGAGCCTTGCAGAACAGCAGCGCCCCCACCAGCTCTCTCCCAGCTCTGACCTCGTCACTGTCTAGCTCACAACCTCAGAACCAAACGTCCTTGCTGGCTGCCAGACCCACCTCATGTCCCTCGCCCGGGTTAGCTTCCACCCCGCCCCTGGGCGCCACGCCACCTCCCCAGCCTACTGTGTCCTGCTTGTCCAGGGGTTCCCCGGTGTCCTCCCCATGCCCCGCAGCTCCCGCTACCTGGAACGCCTTCAGCAATCGCCTCCAGGGTGCCTTCCTTGCTGGCCCTGCGTTCCAGCCTTCTCGCCCCCAACTGCCAGACATCAGCTTTGTTCCTGAACTTTTCTCGTCCTGTTTTCTCCTCATAAAGTGGAGATCCAATGCTCACCTTAGTGTGTTATAGGATTCAAGCGCTTAGAGAAGGGTCTGGCACATTGTACATGCCTCACAAATGCGGATACTATTACTCTTATTTTCACTTCCAGGGTCCATGAGGATAACCTGAGGAAATGCATGGGAAAGGGCCTAGCACACAGTAGGTGCTCAGGATTTGAGGACTCTTCTCGCTTGTGGCATTTTATAAACTTCTTCAGGCAATTCTGTCATCTTATGTCGTTTTAAACATGTATTTCTCGGACATGGTTCCATAGTGTAACGGTTAGCGCGTCTGCTTTACGTGCAGAAGGTCCTGGGTTCGCGCTCCAGTGGAGCCACGGTCCATGGTCTATAGCCATGCCACCCTGAACAAGCCCGATGTCTGATCTCAGAAGCTAAGCAGGGTCAGGTCTGGTTAGTACTTGGATGGGAGGCCACCTAGGAAGACCAGGTGCTGTAGGCATAAATAATAATAACAAATAAATAAATAAAAATAAACTTGTATTTCTCCTGGGTTTCTCTCTCTCCCCTCTCTCCCTCCACTGCCCAATTAAACTGTGTCTCACCCAGGTCTCGTCCCCTGCCCTAGCTCAGGCCTTTCATCAAGTAAGCACTCCACAAAACACAACACTGAATTGTGTTCTCACTTTGCTCCAGAGGGTTTTAAGCCATTGAGTCCTGGTCTGAGCGTGTGTCCCAGAGCTGAGAACAAGGAGAGAGATGCCTGTTCCCACTGCTCACTCTTCCTCTTCGGCTCACACCTGAGCTTCCTTAGTTCTCAGGTCAGGCTGGTAAGGAAGACGTCGTAATGGGCTCACTTTTGGGGACAGTGTGGGCCCTGGAGGGCAGGCTAAGAGCTCTTTCAAATACTGAGGAAACTCGGACTGGGTCAGGAGCCGGAGCTGCCTTCCAGTGCTAGGGGATCAGGGCAGACTGAGCCCACTGTGCTGTT